TTATACAAACAACCCACACACTTATCATCAATATTCATTTAAGAGCTATCTTTTTAATTATTTCTTTTGATTTAAATTAAAAAATCTCATCAAATATTTGCGTGACAAGTTGAAACCGTTGAGATTTGAGAATGAATAAAATGTAAAGTAGTTGATAAACTAGGTGGATTAATCTTTTTGAAGTTGATCACACTATACGGAGGAAAATACCACCACCGTTATCAAAAACCAAAATTGACCACCTAGTTCAACTGGTTGGGTTGCCTATTAGAAACTTGGTCAGCCAAGTCCGAGGCAAAAATGTGTCAACTAATTTTGACAAACTCAACTAGTTAATTAAAGTTAAGAAATTTTTTTAATATATTTTATATTGTAAAATTATTATTTTTATATAAATTTTTTATATAATCCCACCAATTCAAACAATAATTTAACCAGTTTAATTAGACCATACCCCACATTTATCATTAACATTATTTTACCATAAATTTAGATGTCCAAGGCATTTCTCGCTTATTGACTACTTTACTATCGGGGAGACTCGAGACTTGTTTGCAAAAGCTTCTTTTTAAAAGCCTAAGTTGTCAAAAGTCTTCGTTTAAAGTAAGTAGCCTCTCACTTTTCTCTACTTTCTCCGAAAGTATTGGGGGAGAAAAGGGATTCCTAGGTACGCCAACGACCACGTGCGTGTCCGTATATCGTCACTCTTAACACGTCATAACGTTTTTTTTTGTTATTATTATTATTTTTTAATTTCGTCACGCCGTTGTCATGCTTTCCCTTCCTCACTCTAAAGTATTGGGGAGAAAAGGGCATCTTAGGTACGCCAACGTCCACGTGCGTGTCCGTATATCGTCACTCTTAACACGTCATAACGTTTTTTTTTTGTTATTATTATTATTTTTTAATTTCGTCACGGCGTTTGTCATGCTTTCCCTTCCTCACTCTCTGCGACATTTTTCATGGGTTTTGTGTTTTCTACAATGAAGTCCTTATCTCTTTGAAAAATCGAAGCGGATTCTGAAACTGGTGGCTCCGAGTAACCGATAAACCCGCCAGTTTGACAGGATTGGTTTTGAGTAATTTAAAAACTATTAACAAATAAAAAAATATATATATTTTTTAAAATATGTGAAAAATATAGTTAAAACATGATTAAACAAAGTACATCCAAATGAAATTGAAAGGCAGTAGAAAAAAATAGATTTTAGAAAATCGATTTGTGCTCAAGGATATTTTTAAATTTTTTAAAAGAAGTAAAACATAAAAATAAGTATCCATAATCAATACACTTTCTAATCTTTGTCAAAATGATAATAAACATTTAAAAAGACATTACAAACAAATCTCTATTTTTTGAGATTATATATATATATATATATATATATATATAGTAAGGTAAGTTCTGTGAGCCATTGGACTCACAAAGAAAAAATGAGCTCAATGGTCCAGATTGAATCTGGACCGATCTAACGATCACAGATGCCTAACAATTTGAATTTTAATTTTTTTTCTACAAACCCAAATCACTTGAAATTTTAGACATGTGTTGATAAAAAATAGATGAATATTTTAAAAATATTAAAAAAAATATTTTACATGAAAAAAAGATCAAAATGCCCTCCATAATTTTTGGGGGGATTTTGGTTATTTTTAATTTTACGTATAATTAATTTTTTTTTTATTAGGTGCGGCTTGATGAGAATAATATTCTCCTAAAATTTTAAGTGATTTTGATTTGTAATAAAAAAAAAAAAACAAAAAATTCAAACACTCTCGACAGTCAGATCGGCCCAGATTCAATCTGAACCCTTGGACTTATACTATTCTGTGAGCTAGTGGACTCACCTTAACATCTTCCATATATATATACCCAACCAAACCACCAAAACTAGATCAGCCAGTGCCTAGTTCCGGTTTGCCATCCAATTTCGAGTTGGACCTGCCGAGTTTGCGACCATTGATTTTTTAATTCAAGAGGCTCTCTCTCTCTAAGTTCGAACTAAATCTAAATGTCTCTCAGCTCACTCTTCACTTGCAGTTCAGCTAGTGTCTATCTAGAAAAGTTTTCAGTTGTTTTTCGATCATATCCATCTTCCCTTAACTTTTTTGGACCCTTGGATCTTTTTTTTCTATCATTTTTCAGACCCTTTTCCCTTTCATTCCTTACGTGCTTTTCGCTACAATAAATATGGTCCTTCTCTACTTTTTGCTACAGATCCTTATGTTTTTTTTTTTTGGGTATGTATGAATATTTTCTATGCGAGTACACACTGAAGTTTCTCCAAAAAATCAAAAAAAAAAAAGGTACAAATATGGAAGTCGGTCGCTATTTTCGTTTGTGAATGTAATCACATTAGCAACAAATTCAATAAATCTTATTTTTTTTTGTCTGCTCTTTTATTTTCGTTTTGTTTACTTTTATATGGTTGTTGTTCAATGCTATTTTAGCTTAATTTTCCACATCGTCAAGACCCACTCTGCTAAAGTCTTTTGCACAAGTTTCACCTACCTATAACAACTTAGCAGATGTTCTCTATTGACTTTTGAGAAACATTTTTTTTGTTTTTGATTTCTCAGAAACTCTAAAGATTTTGGAGCTTGAAGTTGTTAGCCTCTCAGTTTCACCTGCAACTTCCTTTTGCGTGATAACAAATAGGGATGATTAAAAAAAAAAAAAACCAAAATGAGGCTTTCTAGATAACTTACCTCAACAAAGTTTTTTTTTAGCAATTTTTACCTCAAATTGAACTTTTCTAGTAAATACCCCCAAGTCAAAAAAGTTATATTTTTTGACGAAAATGCCCATAATGCCAAACCGCACCCATTTTGTGTCGGACCGCATGCTCAAAGTGCCGGACCGCCCCTATTTTGTGTCAAACCGTATGTTTTTCAAAAACCCAAAGTGTCAGACCGCCGCCATTTTGTGCCGAACCGCATACCCGAAGTGCCGAACCACCCCTATTCTGTGGCAGACTGCATGCTTTTACATAAGCAAAATGCCAATCTGCCCCTATTTTGTGTCGGACCGCATGCTTTCTAGAAGCAAAGTGTTGGAGCGCTCCCTTTTTGTGCTGAACCGCATGCTTTTCATATGTCATTTTGATCTTCATTTTACCCTTTTTTATGACTTGAGGGTATTTATTAGGAAAGTCAATGTGGGATAAAAAGTGAGAAAATGTTTAGTTGGGGGTAAGTTGCATAGGAAGTCAAATTTTAAGAGTTGTTTGTAATTTTCCCTACCAAATAAACGACCATTTTTCATGGACTCCTCAAAGACCTTTGGTCCTATTAATTTCTCTATAACAATCAACATGTTAGGGGTGTTTCTCTTCTTAAATTCATCGGTGTGGATTTTTTCCAAATTTAGGCAGTTCTTAATAAGAATACGGTTAATACCCATCAGTTTCATTAGGAGGGCTATGACACCTTGAGAAGCATTTTGAGTATCTTCTTTTCCACAAAAGGGCAAACTTTGGGTGGATCATAGAGACGAGCCTTCTTTTCATTAAGCAATTAGGAAATGCCGTGTACTCTTGCGAGAGCAAACTGTATAGTTACTCCCACGGACTAATGACCTACTAAGGAGTTTTTTTAATTTAAAAATGTGGAATCCATTTTTGGATTAAGTATTTTCTCAAAAGAGGATTTTGAGTTTATAAAGAGTTAGATGTGGCTGTCCAAATATTGGGAGATCTCTGTTCAATATTAAGATATTACTATTTCTAATCATATATAAAGAGTGTATGAGTTTCTTTCCTTTTTCATTTCCTTTTATGATGAAACTAGGTTAAAGAGATTATGCCTTCAAAAATTTAAGGTCCTAAAAATACTCCTGGATGGGGTTTCATCAAGGGAGTAGATATAGAATATACTTCGGAAGAGCATATATTCTTTTGGCTTATAAATTAGAGAAGTTAATCAAAATGCCTTAATTTAACATTTTAACTGTGTCTAACGATTTAATATTGAAGTATCTACAAAAAGTACATGGTCTCGAGTCGGAAGAGTAACAAAATGGATAAAATATTTAATAATACATATCTCATAGGTATTGAATCATTTTCCTGAAAAACTAAAAGTAGCCATGTTTTTCTGTTTTATAAAAAAAAGTAGCTAAAGTTAAAAAATAAAAATAAATATTAATAATCTAACGTTAAAAATAGAATAATATAAATAAATAAAACGTTAAAAAAAAATAATGATAATAAATGTTGTCATAACGCCCAGAACTTTCCAAATTAAAGTTTGCCCGCTCCCGTTTTGCAAAAACCGGGTGTGACGTGGCAAATGTTTTATCCAAATCGCTGACATTAGCATAAAGATATAGGGCCCACACAAGGGCGGTGTTCCACGTCAGCAGGTATATGGATAGGGTTGGGTGTCCACGCAATCAGTGCATTATCCATAAATATCCATTCACAACATGCACATGTTTTGAAATACAAGGGCCCGCAAATTTAAGAGGGCAGTTTCTCTCTCTCTCTAAACCATGATCTCTCTCTCTCTCTCTATTCGTACACAAATACAGAAATAGGCCCCAAAACTCTAGGGGTGGCAACAAGATGGGCTTGGGCCGGGCTGGAATAGGGCCGAAGAGACCCTAGCCTAATCCTGGCCCTAACCCCATCAAAGTCACTCTGGGCCAATTACAAAAAGTGAAGACAACGAAAAAATATGGAAGGACAAGGGCCCTGGCAGGGTCAGGGCAGGCAAAACCGGGCCAGCCCCGTCTCTCCAATTGCTTTCTGATCGGTACTTCCTCTTTCTTAATCGCTTCCATACCCTTATTTCTCCCTCTCGGTTTGAATAGCGTCCTGGATCACAGTTCTCTCTCTCTCTCTCTCTCTCTGCCTCTTTCCCATAGAAATGGGGCCAGTGCAGCATCAGTGGGGTGATGCATGACACATAAAACTTGCTGGGAAATTCCAAGAATGAAAAAGAATGGAAAAAGCAAACAAGAAAAGTAATCATACACGTCCAAAAGAAGAGTAAGCATATGTCAGAAAAATCTATTAAGAAGATAGCCCAAACATTTCAGAAAGGGTTGGCCAAGGGATTACTTTTCTCCTTAAATAGAAATGACCCAAGATTATTTCTTTTGTGAATAACAAAAATGGAGTTTATTTGAATTTAATAATCAATGTATCAAAGAACATCACAGCTGAAACAGCTTCTGGTGCAACGTTTAAACTTCGCCCAGTCATATGTTCCTTCAAAGAAATATCAGGCTAGAGAGAGAGCGAGAGAGAGACTGAAAGTTCATTATCATCTCCCCATATTGGTAAGGGCCGCACCCATTACAAGGAATTTCTCCATGACACTTCGTATTCTATCAGAAATATTTGCATAGAGCCATCTCTGGGCTGCCTCATCCAAACCATTAAATTGGGAAAGAGTGGGCCAATTACCTCGGGGTTGCAATGAGGGATCAGTTCTTGAGGACTTTGCCCTTTGGGTCAACTCTGTGAGGTCAAACTCTATCGGTTCCCCAACAATAATATTGATGTCTTTGTTGCAAAGTGGAATCAAAGGCCTTCTCCCAAAGAAATATTTCTCTGGCATTACCTGAATATGTCAAAGAAGACGAAATAGAGGATAACACTGGGAAAGTCATATATAATATATCATACGAAACCATCAATTCGAATCAGACTGTTACTTGTCAAGAAAAATCAAAAAAGAAAGTGGTTAATCATCAATTTGGAAAAAAAAAGGGGAATGGGATCCTTGTTATCAATAAATCTAAGGAAATGGAAATATTGAAGAGTAACAATGTTGTTCTTCAATAATCTATAGGAAAAAAAAAAAAAGGCCGTAAATTATCGGTAACAAAAAGTCTACTAGAAAGATAAAACCATCTACTATTCATTCAAGAGGATAACAAAAAGATTGACTTTCCACCAAGTGGCACTATCAATGTTTTTTATATTTTATGCCAAATCCATCAATAAAGAATCATAACATAAATGCAAGTGTAAACAATAGGTAAGATATATTACCTTTTCAAAACCACAATGTACAATTGGAAGAACTATTGGTGTTACAGGTGCACGAACAATGAGACTGGCAGCACCCCATTTTAACCGCCGAATTGGCCCATAATCTTGGCACACTTTCCCTTCTGGAAAGGTATGCAACTGCTTGTTAAAAGATACCAGAAAGCTTTACAATTTAGTCAAGCCAAGTATAAATGAGCCCATCATTTTTAGACAGAAGAAGTCATATTAAGAATCCAAATTCAAATAAGTATAAGATAGAGAATATACCCACTCTCCTTCAATCAAACGATCCAGAGCTTCATTCATATGTTCCTGATATATTCCACCACCCCTAGTGATGGGAATACATTTACCTGAGAGAAAATTCTTATTAGACACAGTATGTTAATATGATGAAATGTACAGAAATCTCAGACTACAATGCAAAACAGAGCGTGGCATACTGGCCAATTACAAGGAATTAGTTCTCACAAAACTAATGCAACAGTCTTATCGTGCAGAAATTATCACACTCCTAGCGCAGCATTGTATGTTCACATTTGGAAATATCAAAAAGGAGAAAGGAAGATGGGGTATCATACATGAAAAGATAAAACCAAAATTGAGGGCAAAAAAAAAGCTACTATGGAATTAGGAATGTGATTACCGAGTCGAAAGAAGTATGACATTAAAGTGCTCTTAAAGCAAATGTCCTCTGCTGCAAGCACCCAACGCCCTATGTTTGCATCCATGGATGGGAAACCCTTAAAACCCCACATGAAGGGGTCATCCAACCTGCCATATGTAATACACTAGGCAATTACAAACTGAATATGTTATGCAAAGTAAATGGAGAAAACATTACCAAATTACTGCATACCAGAAGATGCTTCTTATTTCAGAAGAGAAAGCAAAAATCTTCACAGATATTTTTCACTTACGAAATACTCTAGTGTATTTCCACCTAGAAAAAAATGATCTTTGAATGAAGAAAAACAAAGGACTAGGGCGCAGAGAAAATGAGCAAATTTATTCAATACACATGCTAAAAGAAGATACATGAATATCAGATATTAAACAAAATTAAAGGAGCAGACATAATGTCTTGGTCACTCAGTCAGAGAAACATAGATAAACAAATGCAGTCAGCAGTCGTCCAGGCATTTCTTGCACAATGTTGTCAATGGAATTATATTTGCTTTCAACAAATATCTGTCCCCCAAAGTTACATAAGTTCAGAAATTGTCTTAACAACATAAGAATTAGTTGAATGACGTAATGCTGTGTAGGCAAATGATCCCACAAACCTTGGATGGCTTGCATGTATCCAATGATCCTCATGTCACACCACAAAGGAACTCTGTAATAATCAGTCTAAACCCCGGTTTCCTTTGGATATCTACTAAAACTAAGCTTATGAGCACTTGATTGTGGATGGGATTAATCAACCAGTCAGATTACCTTCAAACAAAAGACTTTTACCCACTCCAAAGCCGATCTACACCTAGTAGAGTGCATCACTTTCGAGTTTTGACAAACTTTAAATTAATCTGCTTGTTAGGGCTGCCTACATGCGAAACCAGGCCTAGCCCAAGCTGGTGTAAGAAAATTGAAAGAACAGCAAAAGCAACAAGATACTCCAGCCAAACACTGGTAAAATTTGGAGAGACCCTAAGGTTTCTCCTTGCCCAACCTAGGGCTCAAGCCTTAAGCTTTTCCTGCTCTCAATAGATATCTGAAAAAAGAATCACGTGATGGCCTCTAGTAGGCCTGGAAATGGGCCGGGCCGGGCCAGACCTAATAAACCTTTACAAAATTTTGAAAAATAAAAATAAAGGAGGGAAGTTAGGAGTGGCTCCAACGGGCAATAAGATGGGGATAAGTAGACTTGGCGATCTGGCTATGTGCAACGTCAACCTAGAACAAGGGCAAGGAGGGGGGATTTGGTCCAAGTGGAGGATCTAAAAAGGCAAGGAGAAGGCCCAAAATAACATGTTTGAAATTAGCGAGAAGAAATATGGTGATCTATGGTCTGATTGAGGGTATGGTCCTGGATAGAGTAGAATGGCGAAACAGGAGTTGTGTAGCCAAACCGAAATTGTTGGGATAAAGCTTAGATGATGATAGAGCCTAGCCAAGCCGGACTTGTTATGGCCATGGCCCAGGTCCAGGTCGGCCGGACCCTCAGGACATAGTGGCTAGGCCTTGGCCCTGCCCTAGGGCCACATTTTGTGGCCCAGACCCTACTTTTTCAGGGGCCGTGCCCGGACACCCGGCCTGTTGCCACCCCTAGCCTCTAACACATTCACGCCCCACTTTTATATTAAATATCTAATGTTCTTAGCACAATAGTTGTTCACACAAAAGATTAGTGAAACTAAAAACATGAATGAATATAAAAAAAAGGCATCTTAGTATATTATCCAATAAAAAAAAATATCTGGAATTAGGAACTCCAGACCGGGAAGAGAATAAATGGTGAGATTAAGAAAATCTTTGACCAGATACTAAATACCAAGAAGATTATGGATCATATGTAAAAAACCAAAAAGATGTTGAATTAGATGTTAAGGACAAAGAAGGAAAGAGTAGGAAACAAGAGGATTCCACTGACATTAAGAAACGTAGGAAAAAGAAGCAACCCAAGAGCAACAAGGAAGCATAACTAGATTTTCTAAACAAGCATTTGACCAAAAGGCTCTAACTTATGCATAAGAGTCTAAAGTACCCTTGAGCTAACTCGAAATGACTAAACAATCCTAAATTAAGTGTAATTTAAAAAGAAACACCCTATCTTTAAATAAACTGTGTTGAAAGTGTCCCTACCTGGTCTAGCACTAAAAGAAATGAAAAAAAATAAAATTGAAATAACCCTAAAGCAACAAAAAAAAAACTATCCTAAGGATTGCTTGCTCTTCTTGTTCTTATTAGAAGCCCTCCTAGGGTTTACATCCTCCAAATATGCGCGAGAGTAGGAGGAATCTGATGCTCCCAAAGAAGATACCCGTCATTTGCTTCGTTGATGCACTTTGTGCAGCATCACAAGCCCAACCTGCAGGCCTACAAAGAAGGCCCACTCAGGTCTAGATGCAAAGCCCACGGTCCAGTCTGACCCTATTATGTAGAGATGCCAACAAGCAATGTTTGCGCCAGGCCAAGATGGTCCCCGCTTGGCCCAAACTTCTACTACCAGGTCCAGGCCTGCCCACAATCCATGGACCTTCCTGAGTTGCCAAATCTGGTCTGAAACTAGGTCTCCCAAAGGCCGATGGCCCACCAACATGGTTGGAAGCCTTATTGCTTCTCCATGGTGGCGTTCACAAATATGAAATTGCTTCTTAACACCCACATCCCATCAAAATAGCAAATCCCTTTAGTTACACCACAAAGCCAATCCTAGGCCAACACAAGAAGCAAACGAGGCAGTCACCTAAGATGGACCTAACCAAGAAGAGGCCCACAATAAATTCCCTAAAATAGCAATTTCTTCTTATTTTTGGCGTGAAAATCAAACAATAGGAAACTAGGCTTGTATGCTGATGGGAATCTAAAGCGAATATATTATCTTTATATGCTAATAAAAAGAAGCTCTTTAAGACAAACTTACAGCCCTTAATGTTTTCCCATCCAGTGTTCAAAAAAGCGGACCGCCCAGCGCTGAAGCGGTCCAGAAGACCTGGGCGCATCACCCAAGCCTAGGCAGCCAAACTAGGCGACAATCCTTGGGCGGCCGCCTATGCGGTATGGAACCCGCCTAGGCAGGCGCCCAGGGCCTACGCCCCGCCTAGGGGCCGAAATTTATTTATTTATTCGTTGTATTAATTTTTAAAAAACTATAAAAGGTTTGAAGGATGGGTTTTAGGTTCTTTTCAAACCAAAACCCACAAGAACCCATCTTAGAGAGAAAGAAACCTCAAGAAAACTAAATTTTGTGACTTTCATTGAATCGAAGTGTTTCTCAAAATTAGAGAAAACGGATCCAAACATCACCCGGATAGATTTGATTTAGTTTTGGAGTTTTATTATCCTATTAGAGGGTGTTTTTTATTATTTTAGCACCAGAAAATATCTCAAAGGTGGGAGTTTGAAGTTCGAACAATCAAAGTGCAAAAATTTATTTTTTAGATTGCTTGTTTTATTTTGAGATGTCTTCTTCAAGATCTAGTCGAAGTGAAGATCCAGGTTGGAACTATGGATATAATCGGAATCCAAATGACAAAAACTGCATTAGATGCAATTTTTGTGAAAAAGATACGAAAGGGGGCATAAACCGGTTTAAGAAACATCTTGCTGGTGTTGAGGGGGATATTGCCCATTGTAAAAATGTTCCTGAAGCTATCAGAGAGGAGATTAAGCAATATATGAGTTTGGTAAAACAAAAACAGGAACAAAATCCTTGTCATTTGAATAGATCTATTTCTGCTACTTCTAGAAGAAGTGATCAGGGTTGGAAGTATGGTTATTACTCAAAGCCAAATGATAAAAATTGTATAAGGTATAATTTTTGTGAAAAAGATACCAATGGGGGTATTAACCGATTCAAGAAGCACCTTGCTGGTATTAAAGAGAATGTTGCTTCTTGTAAAAAAGCTCCTGAAGCTATTCGGGATGAGATTAGACAACCTTCGAATTTAAAAGAACCAAAAAAATATGAAAATGAGCCTTGTTCTACAGAAATATCTTCTCTAGGTTCATCTAGAATTGGTGATCTGGGTTGGAAGTATGGTTATAACCTGAATCTGAATGACAAAAATCATATTAAATGTAATTATTGTGGAAATGATACTAATGGGGGCATTTACCGGTTTACAAAACACCTTGTCGGTATTAAAGGGGATGTTGTCCCTTGTAGAAATGTTCCTGAGGCTATCAGGGAGGAAATTATACAATATTTGAGTTCAGGGAAGCACAAAAAAATAGAAAAGGGTAGAGCAACCAAGACTCTTAGGGCCTCATCTGCACATATTAGCAAGAGGGAGATAGAAGAAGAGGAGGAAGAGGTAGATTCAGAAGAAACAGAGGAGGATGAGCGTTATATTGAAGAGGGAGATAACTCTTATGATAATGGCCTCGATTCAGTTGCATATGATAAAACTTATCCTATTCCTTCTGATGATGATGATGATTACTGAAGACAATTGGTGTTGAGTGTTGACTGTTGTGTTGAGTGATGACTATTGTGTCCTAGATTGTATATTTTCTTAATTTCTGTATATTTTCTTTTTCTTACTGTTAGTTTCCACTTTCTACTTTCTAGTTCTACTATCTAACTTTTATGTGTACAGTCTACAGTGTATCCGACTATCAGTGTATGCTTGTATAGTTTTACTGTTTTAGCATTGTATGAAAATATGGATTATGGTCTTATAGATTATCAAAATTTTCTTCTCGACTTCTGTCTTTTTTTTTTTAACTGGGATTATGGTCTTATGGATTATCAAAATTCTTATGGATTAATCATTATCAGTCATCACTCATCAGTTTTTTTTTTTTCAACTGGGCAGCCCAGGTTCTGGGCGCCCCCACCTAAGCGCTGGGCAGCCTGCACCCCCATGGCCGCTTGGGTGCCGCCTAGCGCCTGGACCTCATGGCCACCTGGATGCCGCCTAGCGCTTTGTGAAACTAATACTTTTTCCTTTTTTATTGTTATCATAAGTATTGCTCCTTTGTTGCTATCAAAGGAAGTATGCATTGATCTATGTAATTATTTTTCTTGAATGTTTATGCTCTAAATCCACCATAATATCCCAACCACGCCCTTTCTCATAAAGATAACTTGAGCAATCCAACAATCTCCATCAATTCCATTGGATCGTCATCAAGACTGTCCAAACTAAGGTCGCTTCCTTTTGATTAACCCTTCTTCCAGAAATTATCCTCAAATGCAGGAAAATCATTCTCCAAGACAGAACTGGTGCACTGTTATCCAAAGAAGAGCTACATCCAGCCACATCCCTGTAATGTACTTTAGCGACCCTTAAAAGTAGCTGCGTGAACCTCAACAACATTTCAAGCCCCAAACATCCATCTAGATTAATCCTAGATTCATTGATCAGTGGTTACAATGCATTTATACCCAAATTTCAGATGTCACTTGATGAATAGCTTTCAATACAACACAACAGAAACATAAAATTGCCAAAGAAGGTGATAACATTCACTATGATTAAACGAAGCAACAAAAAACATACTTTTCTGAGTATAACCTAACTTATATTTCACAAACTTCATAACTCAAAACATAATTCACAATACCTGTTAATCAACAAATAACTCAAAACACAGAGCCTAAGTCACAAAGAGTAGACGATCTTACTACTGTATATCCCATAATATTCATCTAAATGCATCCATATGGTAGCTGATCCCTGGACCCATTTCCAAGAAATCCACTCCCATAAAAAAAATGCAATTTTTATGGAACCCATTTCTAAAAAACCGACTCCCATATAAAAATGGCAATTTCTATATAACCATTTTTTCATATCCAATACCCATTATAAATGAATTAAAACAGCTAATAAACAACGTTGAAGAAGATTAGGGCTTACGTCGACATGTGATTGGTGACTGTAATAAGAGGCTTCCCAATAGGTCTGTGCTTCACAAGTTGAATTAGGGTTTCTGGGTTGTGGATATGAGTAGAGTTAAGAAATGATGTGAAGAGCTTGGCAAACGCGCCCACAGTTCCAAATAAAAGGCGACGAGGCAACCCACCAAGATGGTTTGCCCTAGCCGCCCACTCCATTTTCCTCACCATTTTCTCTCTCATCCATCAAAACAGGGCATCAAAAAGAGGGGTATATATAGGAGAGATCCGCAATGACGAATAATGGCTTCACCATTTTTGTGGTAGCTTCCATTTCCTATAAGTTGCAAAGTAGAGAGGGAGAGAGAGATGATAGCTTTCATCTCGTATCAGTTACAGAGAGAGATCATTGCTTATCAGGCTACTGATACGGACGCTTTGCCTGCTCCAGGGTCTCAACACCGGAAGTTCTGCCCTATTGCAGGATTGAACCTTGTAAGATAAAATTACTCAAATGCCCTCTTAAACTTTTGACGAGGATCTCTATTACGTGCGATCGCGGTAATATGGACGCCGACACGAGTGTTAGGTTCATACCAATGGTTTAAAAAACGGATCGGTGACCCGGATGGGGTTCCCAAAAAATTTATCCGGATCGGCGAATCGATGATCCGGATCGAGAATCGAGTGAATCGGTCAGAATAAAGTTTCAAAGAAATCCGAAAAAATTATTAAAATTTATTATAAATATTTTTTTTTAAGAATTCAATAAGAAATGAGGGTACTCCATTAAGAATTTTCATGTTTTTGAATGAATATGCGAATATTGATATGTTCTTTCCCTGCATGAACCGCCATTCAGCATTTAATTTACATCACACAAAAGGATAAACATAGAATTATCATGGAATAAGTATATCAATATACATGGACTACAATAAATCATAAAATTAGTAACATACGATCTAAAAATAAAATGATAGACGACGTTGTTGTTCTTCTTGGTCACGCTGGTGCCATTGATTGAATTCGTTTGACAATTCATTGATTCGATCTAAAAACGAATCATCGATATTAGCGGGCGTCTGACTATTCCCAAATCCCTGAGTGTTAGTGTTTTGTTGTGTTCTCAATCCAAAATCCCTGAAGCTTGTCCATCCTTCATGCTCACCTGCACTGTCGTGCTCATCCCTACACTGTTGCTGTTGGGACTCGATATGTGAATAATATGGTTGGGATAGGGTGGCCTCAGAATCATCATCTCTCTCATTTTCTCTTAGACCCCCTTCCCACTCTCCCTCATTAGGTGCAATATCACCGACATATTGTGGATACATTGGCTGGCTGCTTCCTCTTTCATGCTGCTCATCACTTTCTTCAATATCTTCATCACCGATAGCCTCAAGGAACGCTCTCTTGTGCAACACTGGCTCCTCCTCTTCTACTACCCATTGGTCTGCTGTGTCTGTGACAAGTATTGTGTCTAAGTCTATCGGCCCATAGTCTTCAAGCTTCCTTCTTATTTGTCGCTCTCTGAGGTTTAAATTATAATGAACGTAGACTAGTTTATGAAGCTTCTCAGAAGCGAGTCGATTCCTCCTAGTAGTGTGCAACCATTGGAACGTACTCCAGTTGCGCTCACAGCCAGTAGCAGAACATGTCTGGGAGAGCACCTTGATTGCTATCCTCTTTAGGTGAGGTGCATCAGTATCATATATCTCCCACCATTCAGCTGGATTAAAATGTAACAATTCATAAGATTAAATATATGAATAAACAAAATATTAGCGAGGGGATAACCTGGATCCTTCATAGTTCGAGAATTTTTGGCAAGTCTAGTTCCGAAGGATCCTATAGCATCCCTATACATAGCAAGCTATATTACGTTTTAGTGCATTATTCCTCATAAATATAACAACTCAATGAAGTTCTTACCCAAACATTAAATAATACCTCTTGTATTGCTGCTACTTGGTTTTGATGGCTTCTCTCCAACCTTGCAATAATGTATCTGACCCCTTCCATAATCTTGTGGGGTTGTTCAGGTGTCAAATAGAAAAATTTTGGGTTGAAGTAGTAACCTAAAAAATATATAGGTAGAAAAATGTCATTTAGAATTTCATAAAAAAATAATTTAAACTGAAACATTGTAATGATATAAATATATATTTACCAGCATAATGAATTGGACGTTCAAATTTGGTGTTCCACCTCTTTTCTATAATCTCGATCACTTTGCTAGCAAAATTACACTTCTCCCCAATAGCTAATTTCGCCCTCTCAATACCTTCATAAAGGATACCCATGGTAGCTTTCTTGTCAGCATCCACCATTCTTAACACCGTGACCAAAGGGGCAGTGGCCTCTACAACACTGGAACATCGAGACCAAAACAGCCTATTTGAGATTATGTTGTCCACTTTTATACCGGTACTGGACTTCGAGAGGCGGTCATTTAACCACTCTTCACAAGTAAACAATCTCTTTGATGCACCTTCAGATTGTCGAATGGAGTCCACAGCTAAGTAATCGGTGGCAAAGCGGGTTATGG